TATACCATGAAATGCAAGGTGATATCCATATATTTTTTGTACCACAAAACATTACCTTTTGGCAAGAAGACAGGGTATTCCTAACTATCCTAGAAATTTCTTCCATTGTTTGCTTCCAAGTCTGACAAAAATGGAAGGATCTAATTCGAGATTTCATTTTAAATAAGAAGTTATATGGAACTGATTTTTGCAGTTTACTCAATAGAAACCAAAGAATTGCCCTTCAGGGTAGCCTGTAGGAGTTATCGAATAATTTTTTGGCGTTCAATCCTGCTGACACTATGAATTTGGTCGACAATATGAGTAACATTTTTAGATCGAGAAACTATAGCTTATGTGAATACTTACCAATATATAAAAACCTTTCTCAAGATTTAATTTAACGGTGCATATTTTAGTAAACGAAAATTTATCTCTCTGTCTCATTTTAACAAAAGTTTAGAACCGAAGAATCGTGGACACTGGACTGTGAGTCGAGAAATTCTTGGATCAATTTAAAAATCTCTACTCTAAGGCAATTCTTTTTCAGTTTCCGGTGGGGAAAATATAATGCTGACTTTCAATCAACATTTCCTTGGAAATGAACAGTCGACTTACATTAAAGTATTGGGGGATGCTTCTAAACCCTGCCTTTTTAAATATAGGAAATTGAATTATTTAAATTATAAGCGCTTATATAGAACACAATTTTGAAAGGATCTGAATATAGAGAGTACCTATAGCAAAGGGACCAACTTATGAATTGCTGCCTTTGTAAGCCTCAAAACGAAAAAATTTAAATGAAAAGGACATCATTACACTTGAATGAAAATGTGTTGTAAGTTAATTCACAGTTGTGATTTCGTAAATATCTAATTATCTTGAGCCAGCGTTACTTAAAGATACCCACTATTTGTGCGGTGAAAAGTTTTGCATTTGAATTAATGGCGCCTGCTGCATGCATTTATGACTCTTTATTATCAAGCATAGGTATGTTCGCTTCGCCATATCTGGTTCCGTAAAACGCATCTAGCAAATTTCAGTTATACATTTCCTAGTTGATGCACAATATAAATTTTTTCTCTGCATTCTATGAAAGAAATAGATGAAGTGAGATAATCGCATCTATTTCAACATATTTCCCGATTTTTAACAATTAATTTAACTAGGTAGCATCTCCAAACTTTCAATGGGCTATCATAGTTAAGCTGAACAAGTCATCTGTAACAAATGACCTCAAGATTAATGATGAAGTCAACACAGAAGGCGGCAGCTCACCTTTAATAGGTGGAATGTGCATAGGGAGAGCCGCCTACAGCAAAGCACTGATAACGGCGCCGCTGATGGAGGTATTGCAACTTTTGCACAATACTGAGGTTGGTTCTGGCTATTGTATGAAATAAATTGAAAAGGTTTCATGCGATTTTGCCAACAATATTGGCTATTTTACACAAACTAAATTTATGTTTTCTGTGGAGTAAAGGGGAGATGCAGTTAGGAACACCCAATTCCGCATTAGCCGCAGTTATAAGAATAAAACTAACCCCTTATGGACGAGAAATCTTTAAATAAGTAATACCAAAACCATTTTGAAGAGAATATACGAATAAATTCTATATTTTATTGACTATAATTATCCTATTGAATTTTTTTTGATAGCTCTTAATTTCATATTCTAAGGAGAGAGATATGAGTTTGAGCTCGCAATGACAGACTTCTCCAAAAGGGCTAAAAATAATTTTAGATGATTTCACAGTTTTCAATTATTTTTATTTAAAAAGTAATATACGGCTGTAATAGATGATAATTTTTAATTGATAAAATATTTTTACCTAAGCTTACTCAGACCATTTTTACAGAGAAGAAAAGATACCGTTTTTCAGGAGTAAAGCTGGAGCAAAATTGAGCGGATTAAATGAAATACAAGTTCATTCTTTTCTCCACTTTATCCATAATAAAGTGCTATAAGTAGACATCTTTTCCTAAAACCTTACGTTTTCAATATTTCCAAATAATATATTTTATGTAATAAGGAATAATAATAATAAAGATAATAAGAATCAATTGGCAAGCTATACGCTAATTATGCCTTCAAAAGAATTTTAAATTACGAGTCCGTATGTTTAGAGAACATAATTTACTCTCGAGTAAGGTCCATAGTCCCTCCCGATGCCATTGAATTTCACTTACACTTGTATTTC